TTGAATACTTTTTTTTTTATTTATTACTTTTAAATTTAATACAGTTAAGTGGTTCAAGAGGATCTAAAAAAGGTATTGAAAATCCATTCCAAGGTATACCTTAATTAATTGATTACTTAACTATGTTATTAATAAAAATGATTATTGTATTAATTATATTTTAATTTAAAATTTAGGAAATAAAAGAAATAGGAAAGAACCAAATGATCTTAAAAATCTCATTGTCACTGCTAGCACTAGTGCACAGTACACAGAACCTACACAAAGTAACGTACAGACAACTGAAGATTTCTACAGAATAAATGCGTACTATGTGATTCTTGACACACTAGTTACAAAGTTAAAAGAAAGATTTTCGAATAATAGTTTACAAATGGGCATATCTGTTGATAATTTTTTTCAACTAAAATTTGAAGAAAGTCAATTTTTTATTGATCATTATCAAGTAAATCTTCAGTTTTTAGTTTTATGATATAAGTACATTAAACATTTTAACTGTTTTCTGGGATTATTGAATTTATCGAAATTCAATATTCAGTCAGAGATGACAGTAGCAAAAAACAGCATCTTGCAATCAGGAAATGAAATAAATTATAATACAATAAAACAAAATATTTCTAAAACTGTGTTTCCCAACTTATACAAGCTACTACAGGTAGCCATAACTATACCAATCAGCTCGGCTACATGTGAGCGGAGCTTTTCTGAAATGCGCGAAGTCAAGACATGGCTGCGCACGAGTATGCTGCAAGACAAATTTAATAACTCTTCAATATTGTACATTGAAAGAGATATCAATATCAGTATTGAGAAAGTTATTGATATATTTGCCGATAAAAATAGATTTATTGTATTAAAATAATAAAATATTTATTATATTATAAATTAATAATTTTTAAAGTGCATATTATTATATAGTTAGTAATTCATATTTAGTAGTTTTGTTATTTAGTAATTTAGTATAGTTGATGCTTACTGAAGAGTGAAGGTATGATAGATATTAGAGTGGGGGTGTGGGGGCAAAGCCCCCGCGGCTTACTTTGCAAAGCAACATTTAAGCCCCCCTCAAATTTGATCAAATCTCCGCCTATGCAAAAAATTAAAAATTATTTTAGATTCTGAGTGAACCGATGAATGTATTGATTTTACAATGATGTGTGTTTTTTTTTTATTTTTTATTTTTTTATTTTTGTGTCTGTGTACACGATAAGTAGTCGAAATAATGCTTCGATTTTCGACTTCAGTGTCTTGTTCGATTGGAAAGTGGATATCGTTGGTGCATTGGGGAGGTCAAAATTTAAAATTCCCAATAGCTTTCACAAGCGCCAGGAAAAACAACATAAAAATTAAGGAAAAACGGGAATTTTTACGCAAAATCGGTTTTTGACAAAATCGAATTTGGTTTTTGGTGTAACTTTTAAACAAATGGCCGTAGATACATGAAATTTTCACTGGTTGTTTATATTTGCATTTTCTATACACGATAACATTTTCAAAATATTTTGATTTATTTTGAACTGTTTAGGGACATTTTCATTTTTCATTTTTTTTTAGTTTTTTTTCTAGAAATATCAATAAAATTTTATTTGTTGGTTGCGAAAGCTTGAAAATTTAATAGAAGACTCCTAGTATATTGTTTCAAAGGCAGATGAAAAATATTAAAAATCGTTGGTCACAGTTTTTTTTTATAAGCATTTAAAGTTCAAAAATTGACAAAATATGGAAAAATCACGAAAATTAGCAAATTATTTTGAGTTAAGAATTCGCAAAAATTTTTCTTTTTAAATCTAAGATTTGAAAATGTAATACAAGATTACTCATAAGTTTGTCTACCTTTATCAATAAAAAAATCTCTACCGGACAGTCAAATTAAATTTTTATGAGCGTTTGAAATTCAAATTTTTACAACATTGGATGTTCACTCGATTTCTCATGTAGCGATTTCCTTATTTTGTTGTTATTCATAAACGAATAACTATAGATACATGAAAATTTCACTGAATGTTTATATTAGCATTTCCTATACACCATACAATTTTGAAAATATTTTGACTCTTTTTGAGCTGTTTACGGATATTTTCATTTTTCAATTTTTTTAGTTTTTTTTTCTATGAATATCAATAAAGTTTTATCTGTTGGGCCAAAAAGTGTAAAAATGTAATACAAGGCTCCTGATATATTGTTACAATATCAGTTGAAAAATATTAAAAATACATAGGTACAGTTTTTTTTTATAAGCATTTAAACATCGAATTTTGACAGAATTTTTCAAAATCTCGAAAATTATTAATCATCGTAATTAATAAATTATAAAATGTTCAGTTTTTATAGCTAAGGATTGAAAATTTAAAACAAGATTCCACGTAAGTAGTTAATTCTCTTACCAAAAAATCTAAAAAATATACAATCACAGTTTATTTTTATTGTCATTTTATGTATTTTTCAGTATTTTAATATATTTTGTTTTATTTTTAAATAAGTTTTATATTTACATATAATTGTCATAAATTACCTTCATCACAATATGGTACCTGTATGTATACCTAACCTTGGGTATTATACATTTAAATTGGTATTCAAAATTTTTAAATATTTTAATGTTTAAATGATACAAGTAGGTATACAATATTATACATGAATATTGTATACTTACTGAATTCTGACATTAGAATTTAGAACACTGAACATTGTGTTAAAAAAATAAATAAATTGTGTTTTTATTTGTGTTAAAAAAAATTTCAATGTTTCACGTTTTTGTGAAATATTTCACAACTTAGTGAAATATTTCAAAATGAAATATTTCTCATACTTCAAACACTAATGTTGATGTATAACGTGTTATAAGTACCTAATGGATATTGTGATAATGTGATATGATTAATTTGGAATTTATTATAGGTCAATTTTTTTTATGTATATAATTTGTCTTAAACCTAGACTGACATACCGTCTTCGCTCAGAATCGTTTTTCTTATACAATGATATATTGTATCATTGAATTCAAATTTAATAGCATCCATTATACAGTGACCCACTTGTAACCTACAGTACAGCAGAGAGACATCCACTTACCCACCTTTTTATATTTATTTTTTAATTTTTAATTTTTTTTTGTGTCTGTGTACACGATAAGTAGTCGAAATAATGCTTCGATTTTCGACTTCAGTATCTTGTTCGATTGGAAAGTGAGTATCGTTGGTGCATTGGGGAGGTCAAAATTTAAATTTCACAGTAGTTTTCACAAGCGCCGGGAAAAACAACATAAAAATTAAGGAAAAACGGGAATTTTTACGCAAAATTGATTTTCCAAAAATCGATTTTGGTTATTGGTGTAACTCTAAAACAAATGAACGTATATACATGAAATTTTCACTGGTTGTTTATATTTGCATTTTCTATACACGATAACATTTTCAAAATATTTTGATTTATTTTGAACTGTTTAGGGACATTTTCATTTTCCAATTTTTTTTAGTTTTTTTTCTAAAAATATCAATAAAATTTTATTTGTTGGTTGCGAAAGCTTGAAAATTTAATAGAAGGCTCCTAATATGTTGTTTCAAAGGCAGATGAAAAATATTAAAAATCCTTAGTCACAATTTTTTTTTATAAGCATTTAAAGTTCAAAAATTGACAAAATATGGAAAAATCACGAAAATTAGCAAATTATTTTGAGTTAAGAATTCGTAAAAATTTTTCTTTTTAAATCTAAGATTTGAAAATGAAACACAAGATTCCTTATAAGATTATCTACCTTTATCAATAAAAAAATCTCTACCGGACAGTCAAATTAAATTTTTATGAGCGTTTGAAATTCAAATTTTTACAACATTGGATTTTCACTCGATTTCTCATGTAGCGATTTCCTTATTTTGTTGTAATTCAAAAACGAATAACTGTAGATACATGAAAATTTCACTGAATGTTTATATTAGCATTTCCTATACACCCTACAATTTTGAAAATATTTTGACACTTTTTGAGCCGTTTACGGACATTTTCAGTTTTCAATTTTTTTAGTTTTTTTTTTCTATAAATATTAATTAAGTTTTATCTGTTGGGCCAAAAAGTGTACAAATTTAATACAAGGCTCCTGATATATTGTTACAATATCAGTTGAAAAATATTAAAAATACATAGGCACAATTTTTTTTTATAAGCATTTAAACATCGAATTTTGACAGAATTTTTCAAAATCTCGAAATATATTAATCATCGTAATTAATAAATTATAAAATGTTCAGTTTTTATAGCTAAGGATTGAAAATTTAAAACAAGATTCCACGTAAGTAGTTAATTCTCTTACCGAAAAATCTAAAAAATATACAATCACAGTTTATTTTTATAGTCATTTTATGTTCAAATTTGGACGAAATTACATATTAAAAAACCTAATTATTTTGTTGTGATTATATAATATTATTCGTTGGTACCTACTACCTACTTGAAACTTCTAAAGTGTACATATATATATATAGTATCAGGGTTTGTTGTTGGTGTATAACGTGTTATAAGTACCTAATGGATATTGTGATAATGTGATATGATTAATTTGGAATTTATTATAGGTCAATTTTTTTTTAATACCATAGATATGTATATAATTTGTCTTAAACCAAGACTGACATACCGTCTTCGCTCAGAATCGTTTTTCTTATACAATGATATTGTATCATTGAATTCAAATTTAATAGCATCAAGTATACAGTGACCCACTTGTAACCTGCTGTACAGCAGAGCGACATCCACTTACCCACCTTTTTTTATTAATTATTCTATTAACATATTCGTAGTAATATTATACTAAGGGCCGTATTTATAGTCGATTCTTAAGAATAAGTATTGCTTAAGTCATGCTTATGACTTAAATGAAATTCATAAATAGTACTCGAGCTTAAGAAATTCTTTTAATAATAATGATATTGTATACGAGGTACGTTCATGATTTTTTTATTGTTTTTGATCATATCACATTGATTAGTTTTATAAACATTGAAAATATGAATTTAATACACTTTGTAGAATTAGTTAATTTTTACAACCGTAGTGAAGAAAATAATGAACGTGTTCCTAAACGATTTATTAGAGACATGCAAAATCCAATTGATTTTTATGACGATAAAGAATTTTTTAACAGATTCAGGTAAGTGAAATAATTTTCAATAGAAATCACCATATTATATGGTCATATGGAGTTCATTTATTTTATTTTTGTTTATGCCTAAAGCCCAAGTTAAAACAAAAATATTCCAAAGGGTAATTTATTATCATGTGAGTGAATTTATTATAATAAATAAAAATCAAATGATAACCTACCTATTAATAAAACAATATTTTTATATTTTTAATATTTTTAAATTTTTTTAAATTATATTTTATAGATTTTCTAAAACTACAATATTGCAAAGTTTAATGGCATTGAAGCCGAATTCAATGACAATTCAATGAGAGGCCTTCCAATTCCACCATTATTGAAACTACTTGCAGTGTTACGGTATTATGGAACTGGAAATTTCCAAGTGAGTAGGTAAATTGAGTGAGTAATGATAGAGATCTACTCTATTTTTCATTACAGATAGTTACTGGTGATTTGGTTGGTATTAGCCAACCAACTATAAGTAGATGTGTAAAAGATATTTCAAGAATAATAGCAATCCCGACTTTTGTAAAGTTTCCTGCTACCCTAGAAGGAAAAATACATAATCAAGTGTTATTTTCAAATATTGCTGGCAGGGATCGAAACCGTTTCATATTTTAACGGTTTCGGTTTCGGTTTTTAAGAACGGTTTTCTACATTTACTGGTTTTGGTTTAGGTTTTAAGACCGGTTTTCCAAATTTTTTGGTTTTGGTTTCGGTTTCAAAAAAGGTTTTTAAAAAAATTTATCGGTTTCAAGAACGGTTTTTGAAAATGTTTGGTTTTGGTTTTTGCAACGGTTTTAAATTTTTTTTATATTTTCCTACATCTAAAAACCGTTGACCCAATTTTTATTATCTATTAAATATATTAAGGGCTGAGCCTAAAGCCCTAAAAATTAAAATATTTCCGATTTGTACACTTTATGTAGAATGTGCATACAATATGCCAAGTTATGTTCAGCAGAACTAATTTCGTGTTCTCAACAACGTAGGTAGTAGGTACCTTCCTGCTTTTGCATACAACATATTATAGAGATCATTATTCGATTACATTACATGAATATTTAATTGTAATTTACAATAATCTTGCATTATATTAAAGACTACAGTATAATAAATCTCATGATATGTCATGTTAAATCTCATCTCATGTCATGCTTATGATATTTGAACAAAATAATAAATTTAAATTTAAATGGATAGTTACTAAAAAAGGTTTTTGGAATATTGACAATTCTGTTATTTAAAAAGGTATAAATACACGTTAAACACACATTTTTAATTCAAGAGACACACTATTTCAGGCCAAGAAATTGTTAGAAATTTACAAAATAAACTCAAAATAATCAAATGTTAACTAGATATAGCTTGCTTATAATGGTCTCTTACAATGTATGAATTTAGAAGTTGAACTCCAGGACGACTGCAGGACGGACGCGGTTCGGCGAAATACGAAACAATAATTATTGTAACAACTAATAAGTACTAAAAATATAAAATAACTAATAACATTAATATATCATAATTTACACAAATACTTCAAATAACTTCAATACAGATTAGTGATTATGGGCATGTATAACTTCATAGGGGCGGACAAAATAATAATAGTTATATTTTAATTTAGAACCAATACAATAAGTATAGTAATAACATAAAATATAAATAGAACAATATTCGTATTACCAATAGATATTAATATATCGTAATACTGATTAGTGATTACCTAAGAGCATCGGGATTTTTATTAATTAATTCGAACATTATATTATTTTCTTCGTATGAAAATACTCGTTTTAACTAGAATTATAAATAATATAATTAACTTTATAAAATTCGAAGAAACCAATATTGATTTTAAATTTTAATCGGTTTTTCAAGAACTGATCAAGAACGGTTTTTCAATTCTATGGTTTCGGTTTGGGTTTTATTAACGGTTTTTTAAAGGCCTCGGGTTTCAGTTATGGTTTTTTAACCGGTGTTTTAAAGCTTTTGGTGTCGGTTCCGGTTCCGGTGTTCAATAATGAAAAAACCGCGGTTCTAACCGGTTTTTCAAAAACAGGTTTCGATCCCTGATTGCTGGTAATTTCAAAATAATTTGTTCATTATGCTTTAAATAAGTATATACACAGTTGAAAAATTATTTTTATTCAGGATTTGTTGGTGTTGATGGTGCAATAGACTGTACCCATATACCAATACTAAATCCTGGAGGTGACCAAGGGGAAAATTTCAGGAACAGAAAAGGCATATTTTCAATAAATGTACAGATTGTGAGTGGACCTAGATGTGAAATACTGGATATTGTAGTTAGGTGGCCAGGATAGTCGTATTTTTAGGTACAAACAAGTTTTGTTATAATAATTCTGGGTATATTTTTATAACTCTAGACTTTTCTAGAATAAAGAATGTATTTAAGTTGTAAAAACTGAAATACTCAAAATATATAAAATATATTCCTTAAGTAATAACATATTATATGTTGTTTATTTATAGCAACAGTAATATCAATATAATTTATGAACAAAAACAGTTACCAGGACGTCTCTTGGGTGATGGTGGTTATCCACAATTGGGATATTTGTTTACTCCTGTGCGCAATCCACAAAATATAGCTGAAGTAAGATACAATAAAGCTCATATAGCCACAAGAAATACCGTAGAATGACTAAATGGAATAATCAAAAAAAGATTTAGTTGTTTATCTAGGAAGTTAGCTACTAAACTAAATACAACATTGATAATAATATCATCATGTGCAGTGTTACACAACATTGCAATATTTAGATATGAAAACCTACCACACACAGATGAAGTTTTGAATAACAACCAAATGTTTCATCAAGAATATAATGGACCACCTAATTTGTATGGAAATATAGTTAGATCAGAATTCATAAATATGCATTTTTCTTAGAATATTATTTAATTATATAATTTGTGAAAATCAACAGAAATACAACTAATAAACAAATTTTAAAACTTATTGAACAAGTATTATATTATAGATCAGTCTCATAAAAAAGTATATTAAAAATAAATGGTTACCTTTTAAAAAATTGACTGAAAAACATAAAAAATATTTATATAATAATAGTCATAACTAATTAATAAAATACAATTTAATATAGTATCATAACTTTTGATACTAGAGAAAACAAATTTTAAAAATTGACTGTATAAAGCATAACAAATATTTATATAATTAAAGTCATACCTAATTAATAAAATATAATTTATACTTTATACTTTATAGTATCATAACTTTTGATAATAGAGAAAACAAATTTTAACAAATTAAATATTTAAAAATTGATTGTAAAGCATAACAAATATTTATGTAATAATAGTCATACCTAATTAATAAAATACAATTTAATACAGTATCATAACTATTGATACTAGAGAAAACAAATGTTAACAAATTAAATAATCTTATCAAGTTTAACAATATATAAAATATATTAGGTATATATTATTTTTAATAATTTATTCTTTAATAGTTCTTTTTAATAATTCCATTTCTGTTAAATGTTTCTCTTTACGAAAAATTAAATCATTAGAAGCGACTTTAGTTTCAAGTTTTCTTCGTTTCAGAAGTTCTCTCTCATTTTCTATTTTTAAAAGTAATTCTTCCTTTAACAAGTTATGTATCTCTTCATCATTAACTTTTTGAATCTCAACTCGTTCAACACGGTTGTCACTTCAGTTGACAAGTTTGATTTTTTGTTTTTTAAATACTGCCTTGGTAATTCCACTTGTTTTTCAATAGATTTACTTCGGACAGCATTTGTAAAATTTTCATCAGTATCATTAATATTTGAATCTATAAAATAATTTTGTTTTTGAATTTTTATATCTAATTTTAACATTAATTTTGTTATTACCAGATAAAATTATCATCACTAGGTTGGATATTAAACTCCAAATATCCATCAGATGTAGTTACACATGTAATATTGTGACTAGCGATTGTATCACTGTCAATGGCCCCAGGAATTTCACATGCTATGTTAGCAAATTCATCGATCAATGGATTCTCTACTAATTTTTCAACTGCTGGTCGACCTCCAGTTCTCAAAACCGATTGTTTATGAGAAGTTATTTCAGATTTTCTTTTTGTTTTGATGTTGTGCCAGCATTTTTTAACTTGACTTACAGTTCTCTATAAAATTAGTAAATAGTAAAAAATTGAAAATATGCTAATTTTACTATAGTAGACTACTAACATATAAAATGTTCCAAAAATTTTGGAAGTTCCTAAAATAATGTATTATTTGTATATGCAGTTTGCAAGATTGATTCCAAAAAAAATATAAAAAAATAATAAATTGTTAAAATCAAATAAATTAATAATATAATTGTTTTAAAATAATGATGGGGTGTCAAATTAATTTTAACAAATTGTTCGTATCACTTATAGAAAACTACCATGGTTTACCATATTGTATTATATAAATAATTGGTAACAAATTAATCTTAGAAGTAGATACAACAATTATATAATACCATCAATAGGAACTTAGCAAGCTGTCTAAATATTATTTTTGATAATCAAAATAGGTATAGTCCCTATCTAATACACGTATTCTACTTCAGAATACTAAAAACGTTAAACAATGATTAAACATAAAATATCATATTTAAAATTCAACTCACTTTTGGATGATCACCACTCGCATTAGAAGTTTTGGTAATACTTTCCCGTGCTTTGTTTTTATCGTGAATGCTAAATGCATAGGTTCTCTTATTTTCCACCACTTTATTTAATTGTATCAATTCAATAATTAAAGATTTTTCGGATGCTGAATAGGCAAGTCCTTTACCCATTTTGACTAGTCGTATTAAAATGTATTTACATAAAAACGAATATCGTATAATAATATACAATTCGTGAGTGATAACAGTGATAATGAGTGATAACAATCTATAACCAGTGTTGCCAGGTGTGGCGATTTATCGCCAAAGTGGCGATTTTGAATGATTGTTTGGCGGAGATATTTGACTTTTGGCGGGTGGCGGAAAAGTTGGCGATTTTCGATTCGAAGTGTGAGATTAATGGCGACTTACTACTATACTACTATAATCAATGGTAATAGTGGTAATACTTATCACAATATCAGAAAATTGATGATAGGCATGTTTTTATCACATTAATTTTGTTTAAATAAGTTATAAAATATATTATCAGATTTATTGTTGCCTTCTCAACATTTTAAATAGTTATTTTTAAACAATTACAATGATTATCAAGGGAAAACCTAGTCTAAGATATGTTGCATATACATATCTGCTACATACACATACACGTACGAAGTTAAACGTCTGTCATAGATGGCATTTCGATATGAGCAAGTTCTTCCCATACTACATTACAAACTTCTCTAACAATATTTCCTATCGTTGAAGCCCCTAACTTGAATGAATAATGTAAATCGTGGAATGTACATCCGCTTGCTAGGTATCTGAAATATGTAGGTATAAATTTAAAAAAAAAGTGTTTAAGTGGATTACTGTAAAATTGTATACGGATCATAAAAGTGCACGAAAAAGCTTTTGAAGTTCGAATATTGACAAAATTCGTCAAAATATCGAATATTTGCAAACTAGTTTGTAGATAAAAATGTATAAAGTTTTAGGTTCTTAGCTGAGCGATGAATGTATTGATATTACAAAGATGTGTGTTTTTTTTTATTTTATATTTTTCATATTTTTTTTGTGTTTTTGTCATCACCTTTTAAGACAGTAAATTTCAAAAATTCTTAATAGTTTTTAAAAGTACAGAGAAATACAAATTATAATTCGAGGAAAAACGGTTATTTTTACATAAATTTTATTCGTTGAGTAAAAAAGCTTGGAAATTTAATACAAGGCTCCTAGTACATTGTTACAATAGTAATTGAAAAATATTAAAAATATATAGTTACAATTTTTTTATAAGTATTTAAAATGTTTTGACCAAATACGTAAACATCACGAAAATGTGCAAATTATTTTGTATTGAAAATTCATAACATTTTTTTTTTAAATCTAAGATTTGAAAATTTAATTCAAGATTCGTCATAAGTTTTTCTGATTTTATGAAAAAAAAATCTCTACCAGAAAGTTCATTTAATTTTTTTTAATCGTTTGATGTTCAAATTTTAACTACATTGGTTATTCACTCGATTCCTCATGACGTAGTAATTTCCTTATTTTATTGTAATTCAAAAACGAATAACTGTAGATACATACAAATTTCACTGAATATTTATATTCTCATTTTCTATACACAGTATACACTATATAATTTTGAAAATATTTTGACTTGTTTTGAACTGTTTAAGGACAATTTGAAGTTTAGATATTTAATTTATTTATTTATTTTATTTTTATTTATTTATTGTAATAATGCACATTTTAGTTTTAAGTTTTATAATCCCCTCCCATCCACCTATAAACATTTCTAACAAGCTTCTATGAGCATATTCATACAAATACAGGTTTATTATATACCTATATTTATATATTATTATTATAATTGGTATATACTATATATTTTTAACCGGAGATAACATCGAAAAAAAGTGGAAACGCATTAAAGATGCGTACTTTCGATCAATTAAAGAAAATAAGCCTAAATCTGGGGATGGGGTGAATAAGAAAAGAAAAGAAAAAAAAATTATGTTTACCATGACCAACTGGGGTTTCTTATCAAAACTATTCAACCTAGACAAACCACAAGCTCTTTACATATACAGCCACAAACTGCTGATAAATCACAAATACATGATTCTTCGGTTGAACTACCTGCGCAACACGTAGAATTACGTCCTAATCAAACAAAAAAAAAAAAACACCAGAAATGTTGAGGATAAATTCATGGAGTACTTGGAAGAAGCAACGAAACAAAAGAGTCAAAGTCAGCTTCAAGAAAAAGATGAACATGAGAAGTTTTTTGATTCGTTACTTTCTATTGTAAGACAATTTAATGATGATCAAAGTTTAAT